GTGCCACGCTTGCTGCATCGCGCTGCCCACGGGGCTTGCAAAGCAGAGGAGTCGGCGAGGCCGAACGAGCACCACACTCAAGACATATCGGCGAATTGGCCACGACCGCGGCAAGTGTCCTTCCCCCTGGCGTCTCCCCCTTTGGGTGCCCAAGTGCCATGCCTGCTGCATCGCGGTGATCGTTGAGGGGTCTGAGTATGAGGAGCGAGCTTGAGTAGGTCTGAGTATGTTCGACAGAGTGTGGACAAGGTATGACTAGGTTGAGTATGATTTTGTCAGAGTGTGATATGTCTGAGTGCGTGAGTCTGAGCGTGAGTGAGTCTGAGTGTGAATGGGTCTGATTTCGAGTGAGTCTGAGTGCTAGTGAATCTGGGTACGAGTAAGGCTGAGAATGAGTGAATCTGAATATCATTGATCGGAAGGATGAGTGACTGAGTGTGGGTAGGTCTGAGTATGACTAAGCTGAGCACGAGTGGTCCTGGGTATGACTATGCTGAGGCGAGTATGAGTGTGCGAGGGAGGCAGGTGAGTGAGGAGGAGCAGGAGGGACGGGGGAGGAGGAGGAGGATGTGGAGGGGGAGGAGGAGGTGTCACACGGATAACAATCACCTCATACTTCGGAGATGGTGAGCCACAAGACGGAGGTGTTTCGCCATCTTCTGCCCCACGACTGTCAAGACCCACCTGGGGTGAAAACGTTGGCGAGAGGGTCGGCACCTCCTCCGAGGGCCCGCATTGGAATAGCCAAGGCCTCGGATGTGCTCTGCAAGATCCCATTGAAAGCAATGCCATAGGCTCAGACGTCGTTCGCGCTTGGCGTCACGATCGGCCTGCCATGAACGAGGAGGATCGATGCAGACGCGCACGCAGGTGGTATTGTGAACGAGCGTATCCAGCGACAGGTGTCCTGTTGTATAGATGTGCTCGTCTTCGGATGGCTGTGTCGGGCGGCAGATTTCGCTCGTTCGTGGAGGTTTTCTCGCTCCAGGACGTTTTCCGACAGCGGCGCCTCGGCGAGAGCGGTCTGGGGGTGCTCGCATCGTGCCCGGCGACCGCCAGAGGTCAGAGTCTTGGCGCCTGGGTCTGCCAAGGGTTGGTGTTGCGCACAGGCCGGCGGGCCCCAGCAGCCCCCTCCGAGCAGCCCATGGCGGTCTCAATGCCCTGGCGCCGCCTCGGGCGGCGCCCCCCAAAAGGGCGTCCCGCGCTCTAGGTTTCGACGTGCCGCGACGAAGGCAGAGGCTGCAGAAGCAACAATTTTCGAGGGTCCGCGCGTGATCGGGGAGCCGGCGGGATCCGCGGACGTCTTGTGTGCACCGTGCCGCGTTGGCGTCTCTGAGGCCTGGTCGGTCCCAGGGCAAGGGGTGGTGCAGTGCCTAGCTGTTCGTCCCGCAGAGCCGAAAAGGCCGTGTGCCGTGCCGCCGTCGCAGAAGGCCACTCCCCAAGCGCAGCTGGCGCCCTCTTGCTCAGGCCTCCCAAGTGGGGATCCGAGCAGGTGGGGTCTGGAGATCGCTCCGCATCGACGACGCCGCTCGACGTGGAGCCAGAGATCCTCCACGCCGATGGTGCCGATGCATCGCCGATGCATCGGGGATGCTTTGGCGATGCGGCGCTGTCCTCCGACCCCATCTATTCGGACCCCATCGAGGAAGCCTCCATTAGGGATGTGGAACACCACAGCCCAGACATGCTCGCGTCGAAAGACATTTAGGATGGCGTTTGATCGTAGGGTTCCCCCTTCGTGGGGGCCCATATGCCCGGCCCCCGGACCGCCAGAAAACGACTCGGGATGAACGGCCACGCCCAGGCAAAGGGTCGGGACTTGCAGGCACTGCGAATTTGGCAAGTCGGGACATCGCAGGTCAGGAGAAGGAGGAGGAGGAGGAGGAGGAGGAGGAGGAGGAGGAGGAAGAGGGGGAGGAGGGGGAGGAGGAGGAGGAGGAAGAGGAGGAGGAGGAGGAGGAGGAGGAGGAGGAGGAGGAGGAGGAGGAGAAGGAAGAGAGAAGAGGAGGAGGAGAGGAGGAGGAGGAGGAGGAGAGGAGAAAGAGGAGGCGGAGGAGGAGGAGGAGGCTTCTGGCCGGCCTCGGCCTCCCGGGCCCCTTCGCGCCGGGCCCCGGGGCCGTGAAGGTGTCGGCTCGGGAGGAGACAGACTCGGGGGCGGCAAAGAGGGGGGTGACGACCACCCAGAGATCCGATGTCGTGCTTTTTTCAATACGGGCTCCCCGGAAGTCTCGACCCATTCCCCAGGACCGGTTTCTCATCCCGAGTCGTTTTTTGACGGTCCCGAGGCCCGGCGAGGTCTCCTAGGGGCCAAAATTTGCGAAAAACCTCCGTCTTGATTTTTTCAATGCGCTGGATCTCTGGGTAGGCGGGGGGGGCACCCCATGGCGGGGGCCACGATGTCTCCCCAGATCTCACGGCGCCCTTTCTTTTTCCAGCACGTCCCCGGTCCCCCCCCCCCCTTGGGGCCGCGCGCGTGCCGCCGGCCATGCGTTGCGCCCCCCCCCCTTTTTTGGCCGCCCCCTCCCGAGAGACGCCGGCCGCTGGGAGTGTATCCAGGAGTCTGAGATGCGGCGCTGTAAAAATCAAGAGGGGAAAAAAAACACAGACACAATTACTCGTCGATTCCCACGAAAATATTGGAAAATATGGGAAGTGGGGGGAAAGACACACACCAAGAGAATACAGGAAAATATAGGGAATCATGTTATTTGTGTGTATTGTAATGGCCTCCGGCCAGTGCCGCCGATCCGGGGCGCTCCCGATGCGTGTGGGAACGGACGATGACGACGACGACGACCGACGACCGGGTCAACGACGGACGATGATGACGACGACGTCCCTCCTGCCCCCGCTGCCCTCCCCGATTTCTTGGACCCCCCCCCGCTTGAGCTCGACCCCTTCCTCTGTCCCCGCTCGAGCTTCCTCCTTGGACCCCCCCTCCCCCGCTTGAGCTCGACCCCCCCCCGTCCTCGCTCGAGCTCCCCTCCTTCCACCTCGATTCGTGGACCCACCCCCCGCGCTGACCTCCCCGCCCCGCTTGAGCTCGACCCTCCCCTCCGTTCGACCCTTCCCCTCCCCGGCCTCGCTCGAGCCCCCCCCCCCCCCCCCTCGATTCTTGGACCCCCCCCCGCGCTGACCCCCCCCCCGCTTGAGCTCGACCCCCCCCCCTCGTCCCCGCTCGAGCTTCCTCCTTGGACCCCCCCCGCTTGAGCTCGACCCCCCCTCGTCCTCGCTCGAGCTCCCCCCCCCCCCCTCGATTCTTGGACCCCCCCCCCCTGACCTCCCCCCCCGCTTGAGCTCGCCCCCCCCCTCCGTTCGACCCCCCCCGTCCTCGCTCGAGCTCCCCCCCCTCGATTCTTGGACCCCCACCCCTCCCGCGCTGACCCCCCCCCTCCGCTTGAGCTCGCCCCCATCCTCCTCCCCGCTCGAGCTTCCTCCTTGGACCTCTCCCCGCTTGAGCTCGACCCCCCCCCGTCCCGCTCGAGCTCCCCCCCCCCCCCCCCTTCGATTCTTGGACCCCCCCCCCGCGCCCCCCCGGCGGACCCCTCCCTCCCCCTCTTGAGCTCGACCCCCCCTCCGTTTGACCCCCCCCCCCCTCCTCGCTCGAGCTCCCCCCCCCCCCCTCGATTCTTGGACCCCCCCCCCCCGCGCTGACCACCCCTCCCCCCCGCTTGAGCTCGACCCCCCCCTCCGGATCCCCCCCCCCCAGAGCGAAGCTTGAGCGCTCGAGCTCAAGCCCACGCTCTCAGAAGCTCACACGCCGGATCGGCGGATTTAATCATGTTATTTGTGTGTATTTATTTGTGTCTCCCAGGGCCCCTTCAAAAAAGAAGACCACGACGTCGCCAGTCTGCGTCTGGCGGGCGCAGAACGGGGAGTAAGGTCGTTCCAGAGGGTTTGCAGGGAGCTCGCCGGGCGTTCCCGGGGCGCGCAGGAGCGGCCGCGGCGCGCCCGATGCAGCCTCCAGAGCCGCCAGAGATCTCGCAGATATCCCCGATGAATCCCTGGTCCGATGGTGTCTTAGCCCTGAGACCTCCGATGTCTGTGATTTGTCAAGGGGCCCCGTACCCGAAGTCGGGCCCCGTCCCTCTAGACGGGGAAGGTTCCAAGTGTCAAAAGATAGTCTGGGGACAATTTTTTTGAGCATCTCTGGAGTATGTTTATTTTCTTTGGGGTACTTCCTATTTTTCCTCCAAGATGTCCCTGTAGGGGGACACGCCCGACTTAACCTGTTCGATTCCTTCCTTGGGCGCGTTTGCTGAACGGCTTCGCTCGTCGGGGTGGTTCTTCTCGGGGTGGGTTTTCTGCCCTGTCCTCTGTTTGTTCAACACGTGGCAGATCTCGCAGATCCCCGATGAATCCCTGGTCCGATGGTGTCTTAGCCCTGAGACCTCCGATGTCTGTGATTTGTCCAGGGGCCCCCTGGGAGTCCAGACCCCTTCTTCTTTTTTAGGGCCCGGAGTCCCTGCGGCCCCAGGGCCTGGCGAGGGCCCCTACCGAGGCCGAAAGTTACGAAGCTCCCGCGCGGCCCCGAGGTCGAACATCTCGAGGAGCCTCCGCCTTCTGTTTGTTCCACACGTGGCAGTTCTGGGTCCTGGCCTCGTCTCCGTGCCCTAAGGCGGGCATGTCCCTCTAGACGGGGAATGTTCCAGAGTAGTCAAAACAATAGTCTGGGGAGTATTTTTTGAGCATCTTTTGAGTCAGTTCGAATCTGTTTTGGGTTTTTCCTATGTTTCCTCCAAAATGTCCCTGTAGGGGGGCACGCCCGACTTCGCCTGTTCCGTCCCTACCTTTGGGCGCGTTTGCCACACGGCTCCGCTCGTCGGGGTGGCTCTTCTCGGTGCGGGTCTTCCTGCCCCCTCCTCCGTTGCTTCAGCACGTGGCAGCTCCGGGCCCTGGCCTCGTCCCCGTGCCCGCGGCCACCTCGGCCCGGGCCGCGACGGCGCCCGCGCCCGCGCTCCCGCGCGGCGGGGCCGGCCGCGGCGATGCGCCCGGCGCGCGCGCTGCGGCGTGCGGCGGGCGCCGCGGCGGGCGTCCCGGGCGGCCCGGCGGCCGCGAGGCCGGCAGTCCGAGGCCGTATCTCTGCACGCATCGGGGTCTTGCAGGAGGGGTCCTCTTCTTCCTCCTCCTCCTCCTCCTCCTCCTCCTCCTCCGCCTCCTCCGCCTCCTCCGCCTCCACTCCTTCTCCTTCTCCTCCTCATCCTCCTCCTCCTCCTCCTCCTCCTTCTCCAAATCCACCTTCTCCTTCTCCTCCGCCTTCTTGTCCTCCTCATCCTCCTCCTCCTCTCTGCCACGAGGCGCGCTGCGGACAGGAAGTGTGCGATCCCTGGCCAGCGCTGGCGGAGGTGCGTAGGTGAGGAGGTGTCTGGGAGCTAGTGGCGGCCCTGGAGCGGCCCTGAGATCCTGGCGTACAGTCGGTCGGCATAGTGAGGATGAGCAACTTTCAGGAGGGAAAGAAACACACAGACACAATCAATCGTCGACGCCCAGGAAGATATGGGAACATATGGGAAGCTGGGGGGAAGACAGAAACCCAGAAAATATAGAAAAAGAAATTTGGGATTCCTGTTGTTTGTGTGTGTATTCATTTGTGTGTGTCTGTGGGCCCCTTCAAGCTTTCCTGACTTACCCTTGCATCCTTCCTCTTCGGCCCACCGTTGGCCGCTCTCCAGCAGCTGCGCCTCGCCGAGGGCCCCCCCGTCGGGCCCCGGAGGTCTCGACCCCTTCCCTGTGGGGCTGGCTCCCCACCCCTGACTTTTGCTCTTTGATGGCCCTGGCGCAGGAGCCTGGCATCGCTCGGACGTGTGCATTTTTTTTCTCGGCGAGAACCATCGAGGAGCATCCTTGATCATTTGGCGAAAAAACCACGCACGAAACCAAAAAAAAACGCAGGGAATGGACGTCCGAGCGATGACGCAGGAGGCCGACACATAGCAGCAACAAGCAAGCTGCGTGTGTTTTCCATGGTGCGATGGGTGTCTGGGCAGTCACTGCCCGCTGGGGACCCCCAGACATGCCGGCGTCGTTCGAGAATCAAGACGGGGGATTCTCGTCGTTTGCGGCCTCTCCAGGCCCTTGCCGGGCACCGGGGCCGCCAAAACACAGCTCGGGACGAACAGCTGGCCCCTGGGCAAGGGTCATGGGTCGGGACTTCCGGGGAGCACGTGCTGGGAACATCAAGACACCGCATGCCTGGGATGGGGGCCTGGGTATTCCCTGCGCTCTCGGGACTCGGGGCAGCGGCTCCCCGAGCGGCGGACATGCAGGAGGCTTCGGCCTCGGACGCGGCGGCACGATTCCCGGACCAGGAGGCCGGCCTGAAACTCTCCCTGGACGAGGCGCTGTACCTCGCCAAGGAGGCCGGCTACTGGACCACACGGGAGGTCTTCGGGCGGGGCCATAGGCTTAGGTCGGGCATGTCCCCTACAGGCGGATTTTAAGGGCGACAAATTCAGCGTAGTCAGAAAGTACCCCCCCGAAATGCTCAAACATACTCAAAACATCGTCCCTATTTTTTTATAAAAATATTCTTCCTGTAGAGGGACAGGCCCGACTTAACTATAGGCTCAAATCGCGACGGGAGGCTTTTGGCCATGTTCGACCCCTGGGGTGTCCTCGCTGCGCCCCGGGGCCGTCAGCCAAGAGCTGGCCCTGGGAACATCCAGGCCTCTGGGGGGCCGTGTTGTGAAGAAATCACGGCGTCGGAGCTTTGGGGAGGGACGAGGGAAGGAGGAGGTGGAGAAGGCGGAGGAGGAGGAGGAGGAGGAGAAGGAGGAAGAGGAGGAGGAGGAGGAGGAGGGGGAAGAGGAGGAGGAGGAGGGGGAGGAAGAGGAGGAGGAGGAGGAGGAGGAGGAGGGAGGAGGAGGAGGAGGAGGAGGAGGAGAGAGGAGGACGAGGAGGAGGAGGAGGAGGAGGATGTGGATGAGGAGGAGGATGAGGAGGAGGAGGAGGACGACGACGACCTGTTCATCCTCCCGTCTCCCTTATTATCGCGGACCCAGGGAAGTCTGGACTCCCTTTCCAAGGGTCAGCTTTTCATCGAGAGCCTTTTTTTGACGATCCCAGAAAAAGGGCCCCGGGAGGCCAAGAATGGCCAGGAGTTTGCCGTCGTGGTTTTGTTCGCACTGCGATGAGGTCGGGGCCTGGATCGTCTTAGGTTCTAGGCCTCCCAGATGTGGTCGGAGAATTGCGACGCATCGCCGATGCATCGACGATGCGGCCCAGTGTGGAGCCCGATTTTCTCCACCCGGACGCCCTCGCTGCACCCCCTCCTCGCCCACCCATCGGCGATTCGGCGAGATCCTCCGATGCTATCTGCTCCGACCCCGCCTGGGAGGCTTCTATTCCTTTTCCTGTATTTTTATAAGCCCGGGCGGGGGGAACCCCCTCCCCCCCCAAAACTGGACTCCCGGGATCTGGGGCTTGGGACCCTCCAGACCGGCTTCGAATCGGCCCCCCAGGCCTCGCAAGGCGTTTTGCCAAGCTTCCCAGCACACCTAGGGCGATCAGGGAGGTAATCGGAGACGTCCCAGAGACCCCCAAGCCTCCAAGAGCACTCCCAAAAAGACCCCAAGAGGCTTTCATCATTGCTTTTCTGTTGGTTTTTGGTGAATTTTGGGGTTCTTCTCTTTTCGGCTCCCCGACGCTCCAAGACGGCGGTCTTCTGGGCGTCCGAAGCCGCCTGGGAGGTTCCCAAATTGCCCCACAACCATCCGAAAGGGCTTCCAGGCAGTCCAAGGGAGCCTCAAAACGGCACAACACGGGTCCAAGATGGCCCTCAGAGAGCCCCATGGCGGTCCAAGATGGCCCCAAGACACCCACCGAAGCATTCCAAATCGTGACCCGGTCGTTCAGGGAGACAGCGGTTGGAGGCAGGCTGGCCCGAGGAAGCCCCCAGAGGCCCCCAGAATACGCCCAGGAGGCCTCCAGAAGGCCTTAAGAAAGCCTGAAACAAATTTTGTGAGGCCCCAAGAGGCTCTCCAAGGAGGAGCCTCCGCAAAAAAGAGCTGAGGAGGATGGGGAGAATGCGCAGGTATGGCGAAAATGAGGAGAAATAAGCATGGAGGAAGGATAACGAAAACATTATAACAGCGGCGATGCCGGAAAAGGCAACAAGGAGTTATCGCTAAATTATCGGCTTGACCTTCCTGCTATTCCGCCTGCATACCAAGCTTCAAGGACCAAGGTGCATGGCGCGAAGCGCCACTGCAGTCTTGCATACTTATATTTATATATATATATATATATATATATATATATACATCTATTTGTATAGGTTTAAGTCGGGCCTGTCACTCTACATGGGGAATGTTCAAAAAAAGTGAAAACATAGTATGGGGACTATTCTTTGACTATTTTTTGGCATGTTTGGGGAATATGTTTTTTTAGGGGGGGGGTATTTTCAGTTTTGCGCCCAAAATCCCCCTGTAGGGGGACAGGCCCGACTCATATATAGGTCCAGCTCCAGATCGTGAGGTCGCCGCCGTTCTCGCCCCGCGACCGGCCCTTCCTGCTGGAGAACTTCTTCGAGCTGCTGCCGGAGGTCCGGCGCGATGCGCCGGATGAGGACGCGCCCCAGGACCCTGGGGTGGCCAAAAATGCCCTTCCCAGCCCCCCCCGGGTGATGACAGAATCAAGTCGGGCCTGTCCCTCTACAGGGGGGAATATTCAAAAATAGTTAGAACATAGTCTGGGGACCATTTTTTCAGCATTTTTTGTGTTTTTCCCAACCGTCCTGTGGTGTTGGGTCCTCGTTTTGAAAAGACGTTGCCCTGCGTTCCTCCTCCTCCTTCCTCCTCCTCCCCTTCCTCCCCCCTCCTCTCCCTCCCACACCCATTCTGGCACACCCCTCACACGTTTCGTGGCCCCATAGGGAGCTCCACCGAAGGCCCCAGTGGCTGCGCCCGCATGCGGTTCCACCCCCCATTCTGGCACACCCCTCACACGTTTCGTGGCCCCATAGGGAGCTCCACCGAAGGCCCCAGTGGCTGCGCCCGCATGCGGTTCCACCCCCCATTCTGGCACACCCCTCACACGTTTCGTGGCCCCATAGGGAGCTCCACCGAAGGCCCCAGTGGCTGCGCCCGCATGCGGTTCCACCCCCCATTCTGGCACACCCCTCACACGTTTCGTGGCCCCATAGGGAGCTCCACCGAAGGCCCCAGTGGCTGCGCCCGCATGCGGTTCCACCCCCCATTCTGGCACACCCCTCACACGTTTCGTGGCCCCATAGGGAGCTCCACCGAAGGCCCCAGTGGCTGCGCCCGCATGCGGTTCCACCCCCCATTCTGGCACACCCCTCACACGTTTCGTGGCCCCATAGGGAGCTCCACCGAAGGCCCCAGTGGCTGCGCCCGCATGCGGTTCCACCCCCCATTTCGGCACACCCCTCACACGTTTCGTGGCTCCATAGGGAGCTCCACCGAAGGCCCCAGTGGCTGCGCTGGCATGCGGTTCCACACCCCATTCTGGCACACCCCTCGCACGTTTCGTGGCCCCATAGGGGGCTCCACCAAAGGTCCCAGTGGCACTGCCCGCTTGCGTCCGCCACCACCCAGCACAGCCCTTGTTCCCTGCGCTTCACCCACCCAGAACAGCGCTTCGTAGCCCTATAGGGAGCTCCACCAAAGGTCCCAGCGGCACCGCCCGCATGCGTCCGCCACCACCCTGCACAGCCCTTGCTCCCTGCCTGCGTTTCACCCACCCAGTACAGCGTTTCGTGGCCCCATAGGGAGCTCCACCGAAGGTCCCAGTGGCACCGCTCGCATGCGTCCGCCACCACGCAGCACAGCCCTTGCTGACCGCGTCTCACCCACCCAGTACAGCGTTTCGTGGCCCCATGGGGAGCTCCACCGAAGGTCCCAATGGCACCGCCCGCATGCGTCCGCCACCACCCAGCACAATTGCGGCATTCACAACTGCATATGGTTGGGTCCGTCGCCAGGCTAATTTTATAACAATTTTGGTGTATTTTTTGTATTTTCAATTTTTCGTCGAAAATCCCCCTGTAGGGGGACACGCCCGACTTAATGCCAGAATCATGGCGAGGGTGTTTTTCCTAACTTTCGGCCTCCAGGGGCCCTCGCCGGGCCGCGGGGCCGTCCAGAAAAATCGACTCAGGATGAGAAGCCGGTCCGGGGGAAGGGATCGAGAACTCTGGGGGTCGACGTCGTGGAACAAGGCATGACGTGGGGGGGTCTGGGTGGCGCGCCATCTTGGAGCAGCTGGGCCCCCCATGAGCCTCGTCGAGGGGTGCTCGGTGAGGCCGTCGGGGGCCTCCCCGGAACTCCCGGGGGCGCCTTGGGCCAGGGGCCGATCCCGGCAGGAGGCGTCCCTCCGCAGGTCCCGCGGGTGCCGAGGGTTGCCTCTGTCTGCGGTGTCGCCGCTGGGGCCAACCAGAGAAAAAACTCGGGCCAGGGTTAAGTCGGGCGTGTCCCTCTACAGGAGGAGTAGCCTAAAATTGTAAAACAATGGTTGGCGGACGAAATTTCGAGCATTTGTGTTTTTTTGCATGTTTTCGACCTTTCTCCATTTTTCGTCCAGACTTCGCCTGCAGGGGGACATGCCCGACCTAAAACTCGGGCCCGTGGCGCTTCTGGCCGCGCCCCTGCAGGAGGCGGCGGCGGAGGCGGAGGCGCCGGAGGCCGGCGGGCCCTCGGAGGCCGCCCGCATCATCCAGGACGTGGGCGGCGAGAGCTGCCCAGGTCTCCGACGATGGTCGGAGACCTGGGCAGAGGAGGGAGAGAAGGAGGGGAGGGAGAGAAGGATGGAGGAGGGAAGGGAGGAAGAGGGAGGTGGAGGGGGGAGGGGCAGGTGAGGAGCGAGGGGAGGAGGAGGAGGAGGAGGAGGAGGAGGAGGAGGAGGAGGAGGAGGAGGAGGAGGAGGAGGAGGAGGAGGGAAGGAGGAGGAGGAGGAGGAAGAGAAGGAGGAGGAGGAGGAGGATGAGGAGGAGGAGGAGGAGGGCACTGCCAGTGGCGGGCCGCTTTTGCATCCCAGGACTTTTTGAGGCTCGGGGGCGGCGTCGGGGCGGTGTGGTGTACATGTTTCCCCGTGTTTTTTTCGGGGGGAGATGACGAAGATGTATGCACCAACATCCCGTATTCACCCGGATCCGCTTTCCTGTGCGAGTTGCAGTGCAGGGCTGGAAAAAGCGTCGGTGTACAGAGTTCGGTTCCCTAATGGGCTTCTTGTGAAATCCCCCTTCCGGCACTCGTCGGCCACGCGCAGGGGGGGGTCAGGCTACCTAGGGGAGGGGGGGGGGGGTCCAGCGCCGATCCGAGAAATCCGCGCGTCCCTCCGAGTTTTTACGTTTATGCTATTTGTTGTTCTTCTAGGTACGGTCCGACGATGGGCTTTTCGTGAAATTCCCTCTGGGGTTCGTCGGCCACGCGCAGTGTGTGTGTGTGTGGGGGTAGGATACAGTCGGGCCGAGGTAGAAGATCGAGGTCGTGCCGGGGAGGGTATCCCAATGTTCTTCTTGTTTGTTGGATGTTCTTGCGCATCCTGGGGGAGGGCACCCTTGAGCGATCTGATGGTTTTGGAGTGTTTTGGTCGGCGGGGGGTCGCATGTTCTTGCAGGAGGTCCTTCTGTCCTCGGTCCGCCAGTACGGGGAGGGGGGAAGGCTTCTCAGACGCGCCCCTGCTTCTTAGAAGGCGCGGGCCTCCTCCGTAGATGCAGGGCTGGCGCCTTCTAGCAGAAGCAGCCTCCTCGCAAGAAGGCCTTCCCCCCCTCCCCCTACCCCCCCCCTGTGCGCGCCGCCCATGCCCAGATCTGCGACGGTGGGTTCTTGGTCAACCGAAGAATAATAATAAGAAGAAGAAACAAAAGAAGAAGAAGAAGAAAAAGAATAATAAGAAAAAAACATAATAATAATAATAATAATAATAAGAAGAAGAAGAAGAAGAAGAAGAAGAAGAAGAAGAAGAAGAAGAAGAAGAAGAAGCGGCATAAGCGTAAACTTTCGGCGCTCCGCGCGGATTTCTTGCATCCGAGCTGGGCCCTCCCCGGCGGCGCCTCCGGCGCCGCCCCTGGCGCGCTCCGCGGGCCAGGGCGGGGGGAGCCAGCGCAGATCCAAGAAACCCGCGCGGAGCGCCGAAAGTCTATGCTTATGCCGTTCTTTCTTCTTCTAGTGGTAAGTCGGGCGTGCCCCTCTACAGGAGGAGTATTCAAAAGAAGTAAACATAAAAAAGTAAAACAAAAGTCGGTGGACGATTTTTCGGAAATTTCGTTTTTTTTGTAGTCGAACTGTTGGACTATGGACTGTTGGACTATGTTTTATTGTTGGACTATGTTGGACTATGGACTGTTGGACTATGGACTGTTGCACTGCGAAACAAAAGGAGTACTGTTGGACTATGTTTTATTTGTAGGCGAACATCCGCCTGCAGGAGGACATGCCCGTTCTGAGTATTGTTGCACATAGTTTTGTGTGCGTTTTTTATTGTTCGCCCCAAATCCGCCTGTAGAGGGGGGCCATGCCCGACCTACTTCTCTTGAGCTCCCCCCGACTGGCACTCGCGCACGTTTTGTTTGTAGTCGAAAAGTCCGCCTGCAGGAGGACATGCCCGACCTGAGTATCTTTGGGGCATGTATATATATTTATATATATATATATATATATATATATATATATATATATCACAGTGTTCTCAACGTCTGTAGTGCTGTCGCCTCATAGGCCTCCCGTGAATTTTGAACGTTCTGCCACGCGCCCTTTTCCGCTCCGTGGGCGCTTTGGCTCAAGTCTTAATTTGCGGCTCGCGCCGCCACATGAACAATTCAGAGAAGGCACGCTTCGCGTGGGTCATAGCTCGCGATATCTTCAGCTACTGGAGTCGGCCAGAGCCGACCACGTGCACGTGCCAGTGCCCAGAAGTTTCGGTCTCTTGCCCAAACGCGGAGTGTAGCAGTCATCTGGAGGTGATACGAGAGCTTTCTTACGAGCAGGTGCGACACGCAGCTGGTAGCAAGTGCCCGACGTGTGAGATCGAGCCGTGCGCGCCCTTCCCTTGGTTCCTCGTTCTCGTGCTGGTTGCCGCCATCCCGATCGTTGGCTTCGTGCGTTTCCTCGTGGGCCGTGCATCCTCGCGGTGCAGACGCTCGGCCGGGACAGCGCCAGAGACTACCTCGACAGGCGGGAGGAGGTCTTTCGGGCCCTTCACGCCCGCCACCCTCGCAGCCCTTGAGCGCTAGCAATGGCGGCTGCAGCAGCTGCCGCTCACCGAGCCCTGGACACTCCAGAGAAACAGGTGCTCATCAATTTTGATGATGATGCCAACGGGCTTCGTTGGCATCACCGAATACTTTTTATCAAGGGAGGTGATGGACGGTGGGTGGTGGCGACCCCAACGTGGAGCATCCAGTTGGCCGACCTCTCCAGGCACCACATCCGCGTGCTGCGACGGGGAATGCCAGTGGAGCGGGACTACCTGCCAGAGGCTTTCCTGTTCGACCCGAACGCGACAGATGCTGAGCTGGCCCGCGCTCGATCTGAGGCCCTTGAGCTGGCCGAGATCGCCGGGTTTGACGTGTCGGCGGTGCAGGCTCAGGGCGGCGGCGGCGCTCCGGCTCAGGACGCGGTCTGGCGAGTCGCCGACCCAGCGTCTCCTGCTTTCGGGGAAGAGGTCCCTATCGGAGCGATGCGGGACCAGGAGGCGTCCGTGATCCAGGGTGCAGCCGCTCTCCTCAGGCTCGACGGGAAGTGGAGCTTCGCCGAGAATGTCCTCCCTTCTGAGCACGAGGTTTGGCTCAGAGAGAAGCGCGTGGGGCCGGGTCGTGAGGCCCTCGGCTGCTGGCCGACTCGAGGGACAAGTCGTCCCAGAGGTTCTTGGATGCAGAGACCGCGCTCAAGATGATGCGCCGGGTGACGCAGCCCCTGCCGGCTTTTGACGGGCCGCCTGCTCTGGAAGAGTACGCGCAGGGGCTCACGCGGGTCGGCTTCAACTTCGTGACACACAACCTGGACTGGGAGGCGAAGAGCGGGGTCGCGCCGAAGGGCGCCGTCGCTCGTGAGCACAAGTTCGTGAGCTCCTGGCTCTACCTCATGCTCACGACCGATCAGTTGGACATCAGCAACCTCATCTCGGCTGAGCTGGCCGCCAGGCGATTGATCCAAATCGAGAGTGCAGTTCGGCGCAACCCGAAAGCGCCGACCTTCGACGGGCTCGACATGGTGATGGCGACGCCGATCGGGCCAGGCGGAGAGGTGATGACTCGGGAGTTCACTAGGTGGATCGCCGAGAGGCTGAGAGGCAGAAGGACGAAGGCTTCCTGTTGAAGCAGCAGAGGCTGTGGCGCGAGGAGCGCGCGGCCGACGACAAGCGTCAGAGGGGCGGCAAGACCGGCGGGAAGTCGGAGCAACACGGTCCCAATGCTGGCGACAAGAAGTAGGATGCCTGATCCACCCTCTGGTGATGCGGCGCCTCGCAGCCCGAGAGACACGCCGCAGAGGATCCAGGGGGCCTTTTCGGGCTCGCAGCTCGGGCGCCGACAGCACGGTGACCCGCTGCCAGTTTTGGCACCTCCTCAAGGGCGGCTTGACGCCCAAAGTGACCACCGACGATATCTGCAGCAGCGGCTTCGGCGTCGGTGGTATCGCGAGCGGCGGGCGAACTCCGTTCTGGGCGCTCTCAACGCGCTGCAGGAGGGCCCGTCGCGTCACTTTCGTCGCGCTGATGAGGGACTACACTCAGCCTTTCGGCCCCCTCTCACTGGAACGCAGGACTCCGTGCGCCAGCGAGTTGGGCGGCTAGTTTCAAGTGCTGGAGACGCTCCGGCCGACCTCAAGCCGCACGATGCCCTCCAGGAGCTTCTGCGCGTGAAAGACTTGTACACCGTGGAGCCGAGCCACCTCGGGAGCTTCGACGTCGAACGTGTAAAGGTGCTCTCGGCCGGCGTGTCTGTCATGGACATGGAAGACCTGCTGCCTCCTGATCAGCGGGCTATGTTGGCGGACCCAGAGGGCCAGATTTTGAGGAACTCGTCTGAGCTTGAGTATGACTCCGGAGCCTTCGCGCCGTACTGGGGCCCGAAGCTGCGTTTCGACACCTCCGAGCGTCGGCGGCTTATCCTTCGGCTCGCGGAGCTAGGGCTCGTCGGGTTCCGCACCTCAATTCGAGCACGCATTGGTATCTTCGTGGTCAAGAAGAAAGATGGTTTCCAACGACTGATCGTGGATGCGCGAGAGCCTAACAGATTGTGTCGGCGTCCTCCCCACTCTTGGCTTGACACTGTGACCGCGCTGACTGGCGTTGACCTTTCAGACTCAGCGATCAGGGCCACAAGTCAGGACGACGGCGACCTCAGCTGGGTGCAGCCGTCTGCGGGATGCGTCGACCTGTACAGCGGGTTCTACCAGTTTCGGAACCGCCGCATGGGCTCGCTGTTCGGCATTGACTTCGGTGCCAGGTGCCAGGGCCGACTACTGGGGTATCTCTGAGGTCTACTGCGAGGCGACGGGCTCCTACCTGAGCGTCTCGGCGGACACCCCCGTCTTCCCCGTCTTCGAGGGGATGGCCATGGGCTGGAGCTGGGCCCTGTACTTCTGCCACGCCACTACCTCTGCCGCCGGCGGGGACAGCAGCGTGGTCGTCGAGGACAGGCATGCGGCACCGACGCCGACGCCCAGCTTGGCTGTTCGGCTTCCCTACGTCGACAACGCCAACGTCATCGGGATCACCGCCGAGTCGACGCAGCGGGCCCTGGAGCACGTGAAGCGGGACTTCGACGCGAAGCACCTCGACTTCCATGAGGAAAACGCAGCCTCGCCGGAGCTCCAACTACTGGGGGTCGTGTTCGATGGCGTCCGACGACAGATCCGGCCTCTACCGCGACGCACCTGGCGGCTCCACCTGGCCTTGCAGGAGGTGATCAGGAGGGGCTTCGCTAGCGGCCGCGTGGTCCAGATCCTCGTAGGTCACCTCGTTCACCACTTCCAGCTGGCCAGGGCCGCCCTAGCGAGTCTCGACAAGGTCTGGGCCTTCATCGGGGAGCACTACGACGACGAGGCCGAGCTCTGGGATTCGGTTCGCTGGGAACTCGAGGTCGCCGGCTGGCTGGTCTTCATGGCTGGCGTCGACCTGGCTCGGAGCCGGCGCCTGTGGCCTTCTGCGGGGATGCCTCCAGCAAGGGCTATGCGCTGCACGTCGCGGAGATCTCCGACGCCGAGTACCGCGAGGTGGCCGCCTACCGTGAGCGCTGGCGTTTCGACCTTGTTGAGCGGGAGTCTGCTGGTTGGGGGCCTGCGTTGCCCTGGGCCGCCGCTTGGCGTGCTCAGCACGGGGCCGGCGCAAGCCCGCAGCTGGGGCACCTGGAGTCGGGAGGCGGCGCCTCTCAGGGACGGCGCCGACCCTGGCGGCAGCTTGACGAGATCGAGCGTCCCGCTTCGGTGGTCGGCATCCCGGCGCTGCCTGACGCGCTGGTGGACCCGGCGCGGTGGCGGCGCGTGGTGCGCGGAGGCTGGAAGTACGACACTGCGATCCACGAGAAGGAGGGTCGCGTGATGCTGATGGGCCTTGTCCGGGCCAGTCGAGAGGTTCGATTCCACGGATGTCGGCTGTTGAGTATCGGCGACAACCTGGCCTGCATCTGCAGCTTCGAGAAGGGCAGGGCGAAGTCGTACTGCCTCCATCGTCTCTGTCAGAGGGCCGGGGCCTTGACAATCGCGTGTGGCCTGATTTGGACTCAGCGCTACCTGGAGACCAAGAGGAACCCCACCGACGAGGATTCGCGTGCCGCCGATCGAGGAGAGGTCGGCGCTGGTGAGGCTCAGCTCGGTCGAGCTGGGCGAGCTCTTCTGCGCGGAGGTCGTGACTCCGCGGTGGCGCCAGTTCGGGCGGTGCCGAGCCGTCGAGTGCGCGCCGTGGCACCGCCGCCCATCGCTAGCCGCCGGCTAGGGCGGTGTGGGCCCCGCCTGTCGCCCGCCAGTTGTGAGCGTGCCAGTTCCAGTCCGAAAAAGGATGCCAGCCATGTTGCACCTGATCGTCGTCGTTCTCGGCCCGTCTTCCTCGAAGTGTTTGCTGGACATGCTACACTTTCGGCTGCTGTGAGAGACGAGGGTCTGGAAATCGGGATGCCCATCGAGATCCGCCGAGGCCCTCATCATGATCTGGGAGATCAACGGCTTCAGCGGTTCTTGAAAAACCAGATCCGTCGTGGAAGAGCCTGGGCCCTTCACCTTGCTACCCCTTGCACCGTCTGGAGCGTGGCTCGTCGTACTGGGACTTCGTCGACCAACTGGGGTACGTCGTTGGCTACCTTTACTAGGGCTCTTCTGAGGCTGTGTCGTCAACATGGGGTGCTGTTCGCACTCGAAAATTCAAGATCGTCGGGATTGTTTCGTTGGGAGCCTATTCGTCGTGAGCTCGATCGTGCTGGAGCCCACTTCGTACGAAATGATAATTGCGCCTATGGAGCTAACTACATGAAGCCGACCTGTATCGCCACCAACATCCCCGAAATGGAACAGTTAAGTCGGTTGTGTCCTGGAAATCACTATCATGAGCACTTGTCTGGGAAGGTAAAGACTGTCATCAGTGGGAAGTCGACTTGGGCGTGGAAGACCACGCTGGCTGGGCTGCATCCTCCCCGTCTCTGCAGGGCCTATGCTCAAATTTTGAGGAGAATCGCGCCGGCCAGTACCCTACATGCCTCTGATCTGGAGTGGCGGGGGTCTCTCATGGCAGGAGCCACCAAGAAGCCGCTCCCCGCCGAGCCGTGGATCCCGCGGTCCCCACGCGCCTTCCAGTCGCCGTGGGGCCGCGCCGCCAGCGCCTGGGGCGGCGAGCGCCGCTGGATCGGGCCGCGCCGAGGTCGAGATCGACCTCGAAGCGTCTCGTGCGGGTGCGGAGCGGCGGCGTGCTCTGCGGCGGGCTGCTCGGCGCCGGGTCGCGGGTGAGACCCCGAGCGATGGCTACTTGGAGCGCTCCGCCGCGTCGGCGACTGTGGCTCGGCAGCATCGTCTCTCGGAGGCCTCTTTTGTGGAGTGGGCCGCCGAGGCCAACCGCTGTGCTGACCCGGCCTCTCCCGCCGCTGTCGACCTCTCACTCTCGGCGTACTTCGACTACCTTTACCTGGATGGATGCGAGCCGTGGGAATGGCGGCAGGCTCTGCATGGGTTTGCGCACGTCCACCGCTTCCCGCGGCCTAAGGACACTTTCCCGCACGCCGTGAAGGCGCTCGCTGGTTGGCTCAAGCGCGCACCCGAGTCCAGTCGCGATCCTTGCCCGTGGGAGGCGCTCGCGCTGCTGGCAACCTGGTTCATCGGGCTCGGGGACCTCGCCGGCGTCCTGGCTGCTGCGTGCGCCGTGGTGCAGTTCGACGTCTATGGACGGCCATCCGCGACGCTAGCCTTGACGCTGGATCACATTGTCTCGGGCTCCAGTGCCGCCAACCGCCGCTACAACCAGCTCGCCGTCATCGTGGCCCCTAGCGGGCTTGGGCGCAAACCAGCCAAGAACCAGCAGCACGATGACACAGTGATCGTGGGTGGGACGAGCCCTGAGCGCGTCTGGATCAGGTCCGCGCTTGAGCGGCTCATGGCTCGAGCCAAGCGGCTGAAGCTGAGCTCGCTATTTGCGGGCCTTGATTTGCCGACGTACGAAGCGCTGTTCCGCCGTGGCTCTCAGGCGCTGTCGTTGCAAACGCTCCGCCGGTGTCCGCACACCGTTCGCCATGGCGGCCCGTCCGTAGATTTCTTGGAAAAGCGTGGCAGTCTTGAGCTCATCAAACGCCGATGGCACTGGCTCTCGGATAGGTCTGTCGCTCGCTATGGCAAAGAAGGCAAGCTTCTTCGTCAAGTTAATAAAATGTCGGCGCAGCAGCAGCGCGACGGTAACCGCACCGCCGCTGCTCTTCCGGTTCTGCTTGACCGCTCGCTTGCTCGCATCCTGAATACCCGCCCTCCCTGTCCCTAGAACCACATATGGGATAGGGGCTTTTGCACGTTCCAGCCGGCTGGACTTTTTTGCTGCCTCTCTGTTCAGACTGATCTGTCCGCTCAGTCACCTTGTCTCAGTGTGTGCAGCAACGGTGCCAGCTCGCTCGTGCTTCGTCCTGTTGTGAAGTTTGTTGTGTGGCAACAATCGGCTGGAAAAAGTGATTTCGCTGGGCTTCGCCTTTAATCTCACGTCTGGCCTCGAGTCGCCGACTTGAGTCGTCTGGGAGGCCACCTTGTACACCGCAGTGCTATTACAGTGTTCTCAACGTCTGTAGTGCTGTCGCCTCATAGGCCTCCCGTGAGTGTTGAACGTTCTGCCACGCGCCCTTTTCCGCTCCGTGGGCGCTTTGGCTCAAGTCTTCCCAGTCCCTCCCACCCTTGGGGGCTTTTGCACGTTCCAGCCGGCTGGACTTTTTTGCTGCCTCTCTGTTCAGACTGATCTGTCCGCTCAGTCACCTTGTCTCAGTGTGTGCAGCAACGGTGCCAGCTCGCTCGTGCTTCGTCCTGTTGTGAAGTTTGTTGTGTGGCAACAATCGGCTGGAAAAAGTGATTTCGCTGGGCTTCGCCTTTAATCTCACGTCTGGCCTCGAGTCGCCGACTTGAGTCGTCTGGGAGGCCACCTTGTACACCGCAGTGCTATATATATATATATATACATATTCATACTCATATTGCTCGTGTCCTGGGCATTCGTTGACTATATTGGTTATTCTGCTTGCCGATTGTTTAGCATGTTTGGTCATACTGGGTAGTTGTTGACTATATTCACTATTGCTCGTCCAGAATCCGCCTGGAGGGGGCCACGCCCGACGTCATTCTTCTAGCGAGCCCCCCCGACTGGCACTCGGGCACGAGGATGGCAGGCTCGGCGCTCGGCTCCCTGCTCCCCCCCGGGCGCCTCCTCCGCCCGCCGCGCCCGCTCCTAGCGCCCCCGCAGCCTTATGTCGGGCCTGTCCCCCTACAGGGGAATTTTCGACGGAAAAAAACAAATACCCCAAACATGCGCCAACAAAGCAACACAAATTCTCAAACAATAGTCCCCAGGCATTGAAAAAAATTGTTCTGGCTATGTTTGGGGTCTGTTTTATTGTTTGACGAAAATCACCCTGGGACAGGCCCGAATTAGCCGAAGCACCAAGAGAGCTTCAGGTGGCCGCTGGAAGGTCCAAGGGAGTCTCGAGACGGCCCCGGAGGCCCACGAGAGGGCTCATGTGTTTTGGGCTCTCCCGTTTTCCGTCCCAGAAAGAGGAGGAGGAGGAGGAGGAGGAGGAGGAGGAGGAGGAGGAGGAGGAGGAGGAGGAGGAGGAGGAGGAGGCCCCTGAGATCGTCCCAAGGCGGCCCCGGAGGCCCCCCCCGGCAGCCTCCTCGCCGCGGAGGCAGCGCCTCCATCGCTCGGGCTGCGGCCCGCGAGAAGCCGAGCGGCCGCAGAACAGCAAAATTCTGCAGTGAGGTCGGGCAGGTCCCTCTGCAGGAGGAGTACGCAAGAATAGTCAAACACTTTTTCTGCTGTCTAATAGTAATAAGCACACGAGCATTCCCAGCGGTTGTCCTGTCTCATCCAGAAGCCGCCTGCAGGAGGACATACCCGAGACCCGATTTTGCAGTCGAGACGCTGAGAGAAGGACCACCTTTCACCGAGTGCGTTCCGCCACTCGCAAAGTGCCTACTCGCAAACGTCCGAAAACACATATGTCCGCTTCGATATCATTCATCGTAGATCCCCCGCGGCGGATCCAGGTCATTTGCGAGTAGTTACTTTGCGAGTAGTGGATCGCTCTCGTCTAACTTTGGGCTCGGGAGGGGCTCGGGTTTCCGGGCCGCTCCTCGGGTCTGGGTCGGGTATTGAAGGTCGTTGGGGGGGCAGCGTTGTGTCCAGGGCCAGATCCCCGTACGCTCGGCGGGCGCGCTTGATCGGTCAACGGCAATCCTTACCGCCGCCCTTCGCGAGAAGCTCTGATTTCAGGTTTGCTCTTGCCCACGATTGGGCTGCTCATGCTTGCTCTTGCGTTACAAACGCATTGCCCTTCCCTCGTCGCCCCAGAAACACAGATCGCGTTTGCTGCCCCTCAGCGAGCTTCGAGTCGGGTAGGCTCTTCGTGGACCAGGGGCCCGCCGTCCCACGTCGATGGCGTGCCCTCTGACCGTGCCACGCGTGCACCACCTCCCGCTTGCTTGATCTTGCACAGCGGCCCTTGCTCGGATTGCCGGGGGCCATCAAACATGGCCTCTCGACGCACAACCATACCGAGGAGGAGGAGGAGGAGGAGGAGGAGGAGGAGGAGGAGGAGGAGAAGGAGGAGGAGGAGGAGGAGGGAGGAGGAGAAGAAGGAGGAGGAGGAGGAGGAGGAGGAGGAGGAACAGGAGGAGGAGGAGGAGGGTGGGCCTGGGACTGGGGCCGCCCGCCCGGGCCGGCGAGGCGCACCCGCTTCTCTTGCGTGCGAGCATGCGGCGCAAGGTTTTGGGCTCGTGTCTGGCCGTCGGGGGGCCCTCGCCAGGCCGCGGGAGTGCCAAAGAGCAAGCAGTGGCGGAGCGTCCCGGCTCGCCTATAGCCCCACCAGGCAATGTTCTGAGAGCTTTTTGTGGTATGCACGAAGTGTTCTTAGAGCATTTCTGGCTGGGACTGTCTTGTTTCGGCACATCGGGTTTATGCTCTAAGAACGTTGTTTTTGTTCTTAGAACATTCTTGGGTTCTAAGAACACTTCGTGGTAGGACTATATATGAATGCCGGGACGGTCGGTCCCTGCTCAAAAAGAACTGTCCAGGATGAGAAGCCGCTCCTGGGGAGGGGGTCTGCCGTCGGACCGAGGCATATAAGGTCGAGGCCTCTTCGTTTGGGGAGGGCGCCTCGGAATGTTCTTCGTGCTCGCGGGATGCTCTCGTGCATCCTGGGGCAGGGCACCCTCGGATGCTCTTCCGCGTGGCCGTGGCCGGTGGTCGCACGTTCTTGCAGGCTGCTCGCGTGCCTCGCGTCCGGCCCTCGGCCTCTCGGGGCCCACGCTGCTAAAGAGAGCGCGGCGGAGGCTGCCTCTGTTTGGGTGACCCGAAAGGGGGTCCGGCTGAAAGGGGTGGTGCAAAAGATGTGGGGCCATTGTATTGCTAATATATTGCGCCAGAGAATGGTATTGCATTGTATTGCAAGTAGTGCATTGCACGCGAAAGTCCAGCAACAAATTTGCGCCCTGGAATGTAGTGCACGCCCCGAATGAGTTGCAACCCCACAGATCTGTTGCACCAACTCTATTGCACCATCCCCTTGTCGCTGGACCCCCTTTTGGGTCAACCCGACTCCGCCCACCGGGGCCTGGCCGGGCCCGTGCTGGGCCCCCGCCCGCGTTGTACCTTCGCGCGCGTGCCGAGCAGCCCGGAGAGGGCGTGTCCGCGCCGATCCCGGGCCCGAAAGTCTAACCGTGCTATTCGGCACCTTGCCCACGAGCATTCGGCACCTAGGATACTGCTAGTACTGGTCCCGAAGTGGGGCGACTGAACATGAGCGTCGCCTCCTGAACCTCCTCCTCCTCCTCCTCCTCCTCCTCCTGAACTGGAGAGGGCGTGCCCGCGCCGATCCGAGGGGCCCGGGAGGGGCGCCCAGCCACGGCCGGCGCGCGGGCGCAGTCTCGGAGGTCGGGGCCCGAGCGGCGGGGGATCACGCAAACGGGCGCGGCAGTGGTCTGGCGAAAAGCTCTCCATACTTCGGAATGGGTGGGGAACTTGGGGAATCACCACACACAAATCAAGCAGTGCGAAGCGTTAGCCCCACTAAGCAATGTTCTAGGAACCTTTTGTGGTTTCCTCGAAATGTTCTTAGAACATTTCGGGCTGGGACTGTCTTGCTTTTACACATCGGGTTTATGCTCTAAGATGATTGTTTTTGTTCTTAGGTCATTTTTGGGTTCTAAGAACAATTCGTGGTAGGACTATAGGAATGCCGGGACGGTCGGTCCCTGCTCAAGTGGTCTGGCGAAAAGTTTTCCATATTTCGGAACGGGTGGGGAACTTGGGGGATCACCACACACAGAGGCGGCCAGCGTGTGGGCGCGTATCTCGGAGGTCGGGACTCGAGCGGCAGGGGCTCATGCAAGCGGGCGCGGCCGTCGTCTGGCGATGGGCTTTCCATACGGTCGGGCCTGATGAGAGTAGGTCGACCCTGCCAAATCAAGGGTGCCCTCAGGTACCACTGTGTCCTGTGCCTCGCGACCCATGCCTCCTACATCCCCCATGGCAATGTGGCCCTCGGGAAGGTCTTGTGTCCTCTCGCGTGTCCTGTCCAATCCAGGCCGACTGTACTTCGGAATGTGTGGGGAACTTGGAAGCACCACGAACGCAGGCGGCCAGCCTGTGGGCGTATCTCGGAGGTCGGGGGTCGGGTGGCGGGGGATCATACAAACGGGCGCGGCAGTCGTCTGGTGATGGTTTGTCCTTAATTCGGAGTTGTGGGAAACTTGGGGGATCACCGCACAAACAATGCGTTTTTTTGCACTGATTCCAGGCTTCCGATCATTCGCAGGCCTTCGGCGTCAACCAGAGCGCCAGAGTTGGTAGGATCCTGCAGAGCCGGGGCTGCACTGACCCCGGCTTGCGCGTAGGATCCTGTAGGATCTTGCAAGGCTTAAGCCGGGCCTGTCCCTCTACAGGAAGAATATTCAAACATATGCAAAATATAGCATGGGGGCGATCTTTTGACTTTTGTAGACTATCATTGAGTATTTTCTGACTGCTCCTTATTTTTCGGCCGAAATCCCCCTGCAGGGGGACACGCCCGACCTAATGCAGGGCCTGGCTGACCCTGGTCTGCACTGACCCGGTTCAGTGCGTAGCACAGTGACCCAGACACGCTTGAGTCGTGAAATAAGAAGGGCGTGAGGTTTTGTGCTGTTTTCTGGAATTTGCGGGCTCTCACAGGGCTTTGGAGGAGTTAATTAACTCAGGATGAAACGCCGGTCCCGGGGAAATGGTCGGGCAGCGCGGGGGCCGTTGCGAGGGGACCGCCAGGCAAAGGAGTCCGAGGGATACTCGAGAGATTATCTGGTCTATCCATGTTTTGGGAGCGCGCCTTTTTGTGTTTCCATTCTTTTTTCAGGTGTGCACTGAAGTTTGCCCTATGTGTTGTTTGGTGTACCCGCGTGTTTGTCTTATCGATGGATCTCGCAGGGCTGGACCTGAACGCTGTTCTGCTGGACTTCGACTTCGTTTTGTTCTTCGTTCTGGGAGGGAGGTACAGGAAATCAGGTAGAACAATACGAAAAGCAATACGAACACAACACGAGGAACAACGTTTAGGTCCAGCCCTGGGATCTCGTGTGCACCAGTGTTGTGTGTCGCCAGGCAGCTTCGCCTGGCGTCGCGCCAGGCGGCTCCTCGGCTCGTCTTGGGGGGGGCGGGCCGCGCCCTGATGGTGGTCGTGGCTCCCATCCTTCCCGCGCCTGGCATTTTTGCTGCTTCGGGGCCCGTTAATCTTCCAGAAGCAGATTCTTGGACCCTTGCGACCTCCCTGATATACAGTCGGGGCGCTGGAGAAGGAGCCCTTTTCGTTTGTGAGGGGCTCCGCGCTCCTTAGTTGTTTTACAGCCTGCCTTAGGTGTTCCTTCGGGTTTCGATGGGGAATCGAAGTTTAACTTGTGGGAAAAAGGGGCCTCGCTCCTCAGTTAGGGTGGAGTAGGTCAACGCCCCGACTGTATACAGTTCTCGTCCTGCGGCAGGACACCATCCAGCGGCACTTCCACCCTGGCATGCCCCCCACCTTCTGGCACGGCGGGCAGGAGTGGCTGTCGCGCGCCGAGGGCCACGGCACGCGCAAGCGTGCCGCCGCGCACGCGGTCCTGGTCCGCGGCACGGGGGTCTTCAAGGTGAACGGCGAGTCGGACATGTACGCCCGCTGGCCCATGCGAAGGAGAAACGCCTGCGCAAGCACAGGCTTTCGGAGGCCCGCGCGGATCTCTCGGATCCCAGGAGGGGGCAAGGGACCGATAGCCGATGACGTTGCCCCTCCCTCGTCGCCACCGCTGGATTCGCCTTGAAGTCCTGGTCAGAGCGCGCCCCAGGAGAGGTCCCCGGGGAGCACCAGCAC